CTGTGACATTTCTGTAATACGAAAATACTCCCGAAGAAAGAGGGTCGTAAGAATGAACAAACATTGAATACCCATTGTCACAAGAATAACTCAATCCAATGGAAGAGAGAGGGTCGTAAGAACGAACAAACAGTGAATGCTCATAGTCACAATCCTAACTTAGCTTTGTTTTGTACAGAGACAGAGTATGACTAAAGATTGTTGAAGAGGAGAAGTAAACAATCTGCCAAGTAAAAAAGAATTAGTGCTGTTGAATTGGTCACAATAACAATTAATTTTTACTGTCAATGTATGTGTTGATTGATCAGTAGTTATTGCTGACACATACGTTGTATGAAAATAGTATTAATGTCTTAATTAAGTACTCAATCCAATGCAAAACAGCTGAGCATCAGATCCACAGTCTGGCCAGAACCAACAAAATTTGCTTAGTCAGAGAAAAGAAAAACTATAGTTAACACCATAGTAATTCATATTTTAATCCATTTGTATCCAAGCCGTCTTTTGCCATCCTCACGTGCAAGTGGGTTCCTCACGTGCAAGTTGACAATGTCCATTTTTTCAAACTAAAGTCGTTAATTGGGGTTTCCTTATTTTTGGCTGAGAATTTTAGCTTATGGAAAGCAAGCTAAAAGCGTGACACAGCTCTTATTATTTTTCAGTGCATGTTTGTTATCTACCTTCTGGCTACATATACAAAGGCTGGTTTCTATGTTAACACAAAAACAGAGGCTTTGCTGGAGTTGTCGAGAGAAACAAACCGTCTTTTTAGCGAAATAACTTGCATTAAAATAAGTACGAATTTTTCTTGACTCTTACCTTGTGTGTGAGGAAACACCTACTCGATCCGGTGGCTGCCTACACGGCCTAACTGTAAACAAAAATACTGCTGTCAGTTTTTTAAAATTTGTTGGCTCAGTTCGCTTCAACTGTAGAAGGTCATCACGCACTAGACTAATACGGATAACCGAAAAAAAGTATTAACAAAACTATAATAAGAAGTCTTACCTCCGAAAACGCTGAACACACACTACAGGGCGCCGAAACTTAAATCTGTGAATGAAAATACAAATTACTGCTGTTAGATTCACTCGATTCGTCTCAATTCAGTGTAGAAGAACATCACGAGAACTTCAGCATACAGATAAAATAACAATGGGAATTAATCTTACATGTAAATGAGGAAAGTTCTTCGATCTGTACATGTGCAGACATCCGCGCGCTTTGAAATCCCTCGCAAAAAATAACCGACACAAAACCGGTTTTTTCCGCAAACGCGATCTCTCTGGCCAGCCGTCAAATGTTTGTCACTACTCTCGGGGGGAGGGAAGAGATACTTTTTTTCAGTCGTCCTCGGTCTTCAGAGTTTCTCAGCCAGCTCGGCTTGAAATGCTAGAAAAGTCAGTAATTCGCAGCCAAAGCCTCTAACAATAAGAAATTTCCCAGCCAGCTCATTAGAACACCTAATATTTTGCCAGCCAGCAAGATTCCTATAGGGAACAGATAAAGTGAGGAACAGATTCGTTGGGTGCCCCTGACTTCACATTCAAGTAAAAACAAATCAGTGAAACAAATTATAAATGTAAGGCTGCCGATAATTTAATCTTAGTGTCCTAGCTGATCATGAAAGGCAAATGAGTGTTTGCTACTTCGCTAAAACATAGTTAATTAAAGTGAAATGGTTCGGAAACCCTTTGTTATAAGTTTTTGTTAGCTTTTTTGGACCTGTCCGTGCACAACGTTCAATGGCATTTCTATCATTTTGAAGTTACTAACCAATAGAAACATTGCGTTAATTTATTCAGTCATAATTTGTGAATAAAAAACAATGGATTGTGCACGGTCAGGGAGCTTACAACATAACCTACAGCACCATTGTTTTCAACTTTGATGTTGCCGGCTTTCCTAGCCAGTCTCCTCCACTAACTATGGCAAAAGAATTCTCCATGATTCAAACGTTTTAGTTCATGCCCGACCTAACCTCACGGCTATGAGCAGAGGTTTTTCTCTTGCATGGCGTTTGGCGTTTAGAAAATCGTTCGCGTTGCTTCTTGATTTGTTTATATAACAAACCAACGACGCGACGCCAACGGCTTGTAAACCCCAAAATGGGCTTTTTGTGAATTGCTTGGAATAACCAAGTTATCAAATACAAGATTATGAGATTATAAAGTCAGGATTTTAATAAATGAGTGTTGTTAACAATAGAACAGTTTAAAAAAGGCTTAAAAATTATTCATATTGAAGGCTTACTTTTTAATGACATACTTAGATTAAAAGAAATATTATTTTAGGAAGTTTAAGACCGCAACGGGAGTCAACAGGTTATTATAAGCCAAACAACAACTTTGCAAACCCGCAAAGAGGTGTCTGTAAAATCCGGAACAGTAAACGGAACGGAACACCCTGGAACACAGCCGGAACACCCCAGAATTCCGAATACCCAAGAAACACCCCCTGATCCAAGAGGCAGGAACTCCTTGGAACACCCTAAAATAAGGAAAGAAAAATCTCAAAGACCAAAAAACTTAACGTTTCATCAATGAATCAGTATGTTTCAGTTGTCTCACTAACTGATGCTGCCCATACCGTTGTGGCACGACAAATGCCGAGCGCGATAAAACTACCGTATCAAAACTAATAAATATACTGATGTCTATGTAGCGAACATAGACGGGTATAATTCACAAGCCAATTTTCTTACTAATTTCTAATTTGTGCAGTATATTCAGATGGACTCTTGGATTCAAATGCATACACACGAGATATATGCATACGAGCACAAAAACTCATTGAAACAAATCGCCCGATGTTGCAAGTTAGAGAAAACAAAACCAAAGAAAAAGCTGGGAAAGGTGGCTTGAGGTGTTAGTGCGGAAAAAAGGTTATTAATAAATACATAATGTATATCCTCGCCCATAACTGCACTGGCAAGTCTCATTAAAAAAGACGCCCCTTTTGCCCCTTTTCACGCCTGATCAGACCGGAGATGTCTGTTTTATGGCAGGAGAAAAGATTCACGCCATCTCATTAATCCAACTTTAATTTGTTTGAAAATTGGGATTACCGTAAAACGAGAATTGGACAGGAAATCACTGACCTCACCAACACTTTGAGTTCTAAAGCTTTTTAGCTCACCCCAACAACGCATAATTTATTACAAGCGAGAGTGATGAACCAAAAATTTGTAGGCCCGCGCCTACCGATCTATGGGCTAACTACGCCCCTACTTGTACACGTTAACTTGTTTTCCTCTCGATCTATAGTCCAGTCCAGTCCAGTCCTGCCGTACTGGCAGCTTAAAACAAATATTATGAAAATGTAATGTATTATTTAAAAGCAACAGAAGCTAGATACTGACAGATCCTTCTAATTAATTATCGCCGAGTTGTTAACAGGAGCCTGAGGTATGTGCGTCTGTGTATTCTTTGTGTTTCGATTTTGACCTTCTTTATTTAGCTGTGAACATTATTTTTAGAAAATAGTTCATTTTTATCCCTCACTAGTCTCGCTACTGAATACGTTCCCTTTATTTAAAATTCCGTGTACTCTGACCTATCTTCTAGGACGCAAAAACTCGAAGGCGAATCTGATTCGCAGTCTTTAAACGGTTGGCTAATTACGTAACTAAATGGTAACAGAATGCGATTCATTTTAGAACTTAACTTCTGCTTTACAAGAAGAGGAAAAACGCATTCCTTCATTTTCCCTCGATTTTTGCCGGAACAGTACCTGCGAAAACTCCAGGCGGTCTAGATGCTTGGAGAATTTATCCAAGCGGGGAAAGCACGCTACCGGAGTTTGAAAAAAATACATGTTAAAGCGAATAAAGGAAAACCGGAATCAATTATAAAAGGAAATTTAATGAAAATAGAGTCCATAAAGTTAGTATAGTGGGAATATATGAAAGGAAAAAGGAGGGCGTATTTTTTATTTTATTTCTTTGTTTGTTTGTTTGTTTCATGAAGTACAATAAGTTTAGAAAAGTCAGACGCTCACGAAAAAGTAATCCCCCACTGGAAAACCTTTGGAATAAAAGTTGAAAACTAAATTGTACAGATTTATAATATATATTACATCATTATGTTAAGTAAGCTCTAACTGCAGTATGCATAATACACCTGTACCACCTTTGATGTAACACAGCAGCCACGTAAAAATATATCACTAAAAATTAGCCTCTTTGCCTCGAGTTTGTTCAGCAAGAAAACCGACAGAGTGTGATCAGATAGAAATTAAACATACTTATAATGCGAACGAGATAGATTTCTTGACCTAAAACACTATTTCCCATTAATGTAAACAGAGTTGATTCTACTTGTATTAAAATCCATGTCACTATTGTTAAAAGTCTAAAAAGCTCGCGACCACGTGTAGGAACAACAATGGCAAAATGTGTTGATATTTGAAGTTCTTGTTTTTTCTTACACATGCATTTCAGGTCGTGATAACTTTTTCCAGCCTTTTTAAAGTGACTCTGAAGGGGTTCTTCGTTTCACTTTGGGGGAGGGGGTTGTAGAAAACAAAGACCCTTCCAAGATTCATTGAAAATTGAAGATCTTGTTTTGTTTTTTCCGTAAGACTTCACCGTAACAGGTAGCCCGCGAGCAAGTTCCCCATTTGGGGGAGTTGTGAGAAATCACGCGAGTGCCCAACGCGATAGGAGACGACAGTTCGAGTGGCCCTTTCCTCCGCATCGCGCGAAATCTCGCGATGGGGGAGGAGGAGAGAAGCCAGTGAAGGCAGTGAAGGCAATTTTTCTCTCCTTCTCCCTCGCCCTCTCCACCATCGTTTTCTCGTTTAACCTCGCGCGCGGCCGCATAAATAAGAACCAAAAACGAAAGTCACACCATTAAAATCGCCAGTTCCGCAGGTTACGTTACGGGCGGTTATCTTTGTTACAAATTATGTACTAAGGGGCCACGCCTCGGAGAAAAAAGGCGGCCTTTCCCCCAATAACGTTGAGAACCAAGGCTAATTTAGAAGGATTTGTAATTTGTATGGAGTCATCAGAGCAAAACGGGGCTAGTATCTCAGAGACTCTTTGCCCCAAAATGCTAGTTTGTCTAGCAAGAGGACCTTTTGGATGTTTTTTTTCTTTATGTAATATCCCGACAAATCCTATGATTTCAAAAATTTGTACAGTGCAAAGAGTACTGCAATCTGCAGTGAATCTGTAACAGAATTTGTAATTTGTGAGTTATGAAGATCAGTAAATTCTGAATTCTAATTCTAACGGGAAGGCTTTGATGATAGATTGCGCTAGCATAACTTTGGTATCCGTCTTTACAAGCATAATTTTCATTTTTGCGAAAAAAGCATTGCTTGCATAATTTTCCCTTTTGGCTAGTTTTGCAGCACAAATATTGTTATTTATTGATCATACAACCAACTTTTTTGGCCTGAGATCAGTTTTACGGGCATATTTAAGTAACGAAATCATTTTATGCCCGCTTACTGTCACATCCGAGGGGCCTGGGTGACCCAGGACTCCTTCCTCAGGCCTCAATGCAATGCATGCACATAACAAGCTCGGTTACCCTAAATGGCGTGTTGATTATTGTTTGAGTTTCAATAATATAGTTGGCAGACAGTTTTGTTGTTTCAGTGCTTTATCTCTCATACATTCATCTATCGCTGAAAACTAGAGTTTGCAAGACAGTGATAGCCAGGGAATTGTAAATAGGATAAACGTGTTTCCTTTTTCCCCTTTGTTGCCTAGTTTTTTTAGGACCTAAATTTAAAAAAAAGATAAATATACGAGCAATGCTAGTAGGAGCCAGGATAAACGGGTGGCACAGGTAAAAAATGCGTTTTTTCAAACATTTGACCGGACTTGCGCCAACGGGGTCGAAGTCTCAAATGATCTCCTTCTCCTTTTTTTCAGATTTCTTCAAAAATCTGGAAAGCAGTTTAGTTTCGAAGCTTTACTGGACCAAGATGGCTATTCCTGTTGTAGATTTTAGCGCCATGGGTTTACAAAACAAGAATCAGCCTTGGTCGGAAAATAGCAATGCTGTCAAAGACTTGGCTGAGAAACTCTACAATGCCTTTAGCACGGTTGGATTTGTGTATCTTAAAAACCATGGGATTCCCCAGGAAATGGTGCGTTTTTGTTCCAATGTTTGTTTTTTCTTTGTTGTTGCTGTTGTAAATATTTTTTATTTCAGTTCAAAACTGGGTCAAAGGGTTAAAAGCAGCATCTTTTTCAGCCTCATCTTGAGTCTTCACTTTCTCGGACAGTCCGGGAATTAATCGAGCCTCCATCTTGAAGAACAACACTTATTTTGCATGGTCCACATTACAGACCAAAAAAAAGACGTCAAGATGTTAAAAAAAATTGCAGTGAAACCAATCTCTTCAGTTTTGAACACTTTGACGTCATTGCTGTGGTCTATAAGAGTTGTGGCGAGAAAAAAAAGCGCATGCTACGCTATGCTAATTGTCGATTTGTTAACTGAAGATGGTAGGTGAGCTTTTCAATAGTTCTGGTGAAAAAATTTTTCTAGCAGTTGAGGTTCGATTTAGTACGTTACTACTGCCGTTACCTACGAACGCATACGTATTCACAGTCGTCGCTCCTTTTCACCCTGAGCGACGACCGAAAATATGGCTGCGTTTGCAGGCTACTGCCATCGTTGTCGTTCAGTGTAGGAAAGATTTAACAAAGATGAATGTTTGTTACATACTCGTCCAGTCAACAGATGACCTAAAAAAAGCATGAAAAAGTGGCCGCTTTCGATAACTGGAGGTTCGACAGTATTTTGTGTCGTTGGTTGCCCTTAGTATTTGATCTTGAATGACCTTTTACCGGTCACTTCTCAGTACTTCTCAAGTAGAATTCCACCTATAAAATATACCAAGGTCTTGGGAAACCATCTCTTTTGTTCATGTTATTATAGCCTTCCATTGGGTAGTTCACTTGAAACTTCGCAAGAACTTGCTGAGCAGCGAACTTGACAGGAGGAACAATGATTTTTTTGCTCATCCTTGAAGTTAATTTCTTTGTTTAACTCTGCAGATCGACTCTATTTTTGTGGAGATGGATAAGTTCTTCGCCCTGAGTCATAAAGTAAAAACGAAATACAAAAGGGAACACAAATTCTGCAGAGATGGTTGGAATTCTTTTGAAGCGGAAAGGTAATGCGTGCCCATTCCCTTGATTTGTACTTATGGTGCAAACAATCGGCCAGAATTGTGACATGCATGTGCAGTAAAGGTAGCACAGTATTGGCCCTTGAGAAACAGAAAAAACGGCATTCGTTTCAAAGTTGCCTAGCCAAAATGGGGGAGCATTAAATGAAAGAAGATCATCTCAGTTATAGACACAACTTTTGCAGTTGCGTAAAGATTTAGTCTGAAATGATGCAGGCTTGAACGGGATTTGAACTCAGCTTGACCTCTGCGATACCGGTTCAGCGCTCTACCATTGGAACTAACAAGCCGACAGGAAGCTGGTCTTTTATTTGGTTCTTTCAAAACCCACGAGCCTCGCTTTAAAACAGGCACTTGGTTCAACCCGGAAGTGGCTTTTTATAGTCACGTTGATTGGCTACAAAATATTCTTCCCAGGTGATAGACCTTTTCAGCTTGTTTGGATTTGTTTTCCCATTTCAAACCATGTGATAGTGCCAAATCCTAGAAAACTGTTTCCGGCACGTGGTCTGAATTTGGAAAACAAAACATACAAGCCAAAAGGTCTATTGAATAGTAATAATAATAATAATAATAATAATTATAATAATTTAATGATAAAAATAATATAGTAATAAACCAAACCGTTTTTGCTTTCTCTTCGTTCACAGCCTTAATTCAGAGAGACCACCAGGTTACAAAGAAACCTTGGATTTGAACTCAATTTATGAGGCAGATTTTGTAAGTTTTAATAGGTAGCTTGTTGACACTTGCGCTGAGTGCCAGAGCCTTTTTTACCTTTTTTCTTACCTAATTCATGATAGTTTGCGGCGAATTGAGGCGGGTTATTTCCTCCCAGGTATTTTGAGAACGGACCCCTGTTGCCGGTTAGTTAGCCAGGACGTTTTTTTTTACAATTTCCTAAGAAAAAGTTTCATTCTGACAGTCTGGGCCACAACCAGATCTGGATATATGATGACGTCGTCTAAATTTTGTCTGAAAGAGGTTTCTAATAACAGACGCTTTCGATAAACATTTAAGAATAAAAATCAACGATAAAAATTTTGAATGACGTTTCGATGACTCGCTCATCATTTTCAAATTCTAAAAAGTTAGATTGTTAAAAGTTCTTTATATATTAAGAATATACACCTGCGTGACTCTCACAATCAGAAGAACAAAGACCTCACTGAACAATTCACTATACTGAAGAAATGTCGTGGGAAATTTGAATGCTTGATCTACGAAATGCTTTTTATCCAGGAAATGAAACCCAAACTGAACACTCAATCAGACTCAATAAAAGCGAAACTTTTTAGTACCTAATTAACACTCACTACGTTCCACATTGTAGTTTTTAATCACGTGCAACGAGACTTCACACGCATTCTTAATATATAAAGAACTTTTAACAATCTCACTTTTTAGAATTTGAAAATGATGAGCGAGTCATCGAAACTTCATTCAAAATTTTTATCGTTGATTTTTATTCTTGAAAAAGGTTTCATTTGAATTATACCATCATATCGAATCATAGTTTCGTCCACTGATTCTAACGTTCTCGTCCACAGAATTAAAATTTAGACCCGGTGATATATGGAGAAAAAGTACCCCGAGCAGGGTCGCCCTCTAACAGCGAGCGTTCCTGATATCAGAAAAATGTTGACCCCCTTGTCCTTGTCCAAGACAACAGAACTCGCACATGCGTTAATTGTCTCGCTTTGATCTAGTTGTCCCAGCTGGGCGAGCCAAGTGAATGTAAGCCAGTGTAGGACGGTGACTCCGGGCCTACCTTCACAAAAGGTTGACCTACCTTGCCGGGTCACCCTTCTAGCAGAGCCAGCGCTAGCATTTCTTTTATCATAAAAACGGTCTCGCGTATAGCAGCATAAAGGACAATTTGCCTAGCCTTTAAATGGGCGTCTTGATTGGATTACAAGAATATCGTTTTCTGATTTGTGTTTTAATTATATTTTTACAACTAATTTCTTTCGTTTTTTCTTTTTACCATCAATGTTCTTGTGTTGCAGAGATGGCCCAATGAAGAGATATCAAACTTCCAAAGCAACATTACACGTACCTATGAGACCATGACAGAGCTAAGCTTCAGGGTGCTATCTGCCATGGCTATAGGTCTTCAACTGGTAAGAAAATCATGTTGACATAACAAACGATTACCGTGCCCTAAAATCGAAAAATGGAGATTTTATATTCTAAGACGAGGACAACTACGAGTAGTACGGCGCATTTGAATATATTATAGATATTTGCGCCTTATAAGTTTTGAATTAATAATTAATTAATACGAGATTTTCTCAGTACTAAGAAGTGCTCGCGCAAGAACCAGCACCATCTTGGCGGGAAAACGTCCACCCGTCCGCCCGCACCACAGGGAAACCACTGTAAAATGTCACACTTTCTAGATAGCGTAGGAGCCTGCAACCTGATATTGCACATCCATCTGCTGTGGTCAATTGACAGCTGTCAAAACGGGGCATTCGCTAACCAGTATCACATGACCATATCACGGGCTCTGGTATCGACCCATCAACCACCTTTTGAGTCATCCGCTGACAAGTTACTAGTTCCTAACTGATCGCGGGCTCAACCCCAAGTGGATTTCTTTGTGATGGTTCAGTACAAGTTTATTTTTTGAAGCAAATTATAAATGTTTAGGGTATTAAACGGGAGCTTCGCTTTTAGCTTTGGGTAAACCTATACATTAACTTATTCTTTGATTTCTTGAACAGAAACATGACGCGTTTGCCCATGCATTCGAAAAAGCAGGCACTTTACAAGGAGAAACTATGTTAAGGTATAGTTACTACCCCACGATAACTGATATGAGTAACGTCAAACCAGGTCAGCTTCGTTGTGGAGAGCATACTGACTGGGGCGCCATTACACTTCTTATCCAGGATGATGTTGGTGGACTTGAGGTAAAGAAAGCTACCGTTAATTAAGCCAAGCAAATAAAAATAATAAATAAACAAACAAATGTTTTTCCTCCAGGCCTGCTTCATTTCTTGGGGTCGTCTATTTCTTTGTTACTGGAAATGTTGGAATAAACAAAACCCGACACGCGGTACTTTCAACACTAGTTATTCTACAATTCTACATAACGGGCGTTACTTTTCATAATAAAAAGAATTAAACCTATTGACATTTTTCATACACCTTGCCTATTGAGATATATCGTACGACGCATTACGTCGTTAAAACATGTATCAAACTAAATTTGTGTCACATCATTATCTGACGTTTCAATATTAATATTTGACCAAAAACTCCAACTAATCCCCGACCGAAGATTCACTTGAAAACCGCGAATAAAAAGGTTTGAAATAACAACAACAAGCGCTCGCCTGCTCTCTTTTTTCTAGAAATCCGGACGAGAAACATTTGTTTTTATTTCTACTTGGCCCTAGATAACCTAGGAAAAAGCATTAACTTACACTAACAAGTCCATTGCTTCTTAATTTGCTTCAGATACGCAACGTTGATGGAAAATTTGTTCCTGCTCCACCAATAGAAGGAACAATGGTGGTCAACATTGGCGACATGATGGAAAGATGGACGGCGGATAAACTGAAATCAACGGTATGTTGGAGAATGCAACCCTCATACTAAGCCTACGTTTCAATGGTTTCACAAATTGGTTAATTTACCCCCGGGGGGTAAAACTCAAAAAAGTTTTACAGGGGGAGACTCCGCCCCGAGGTCCGACTCCATACGGTTTTCATGCAATTTTTTACAGAAAAGGCACCTTCCATTAAAAAATGGTACCCCTTTTAAGACCAGGTTTAGAGCTCTGCATCCCTTTTAACTGCTGTAAATGCATTGTCTTTAAAATATGAAAAAGTCAGAAAAACAGGAATTTTTTTCATCGCCACCAGGAACCCATCATTTGATGGGCTCCTGTCGCCATAAATTCTTAACTTTTATTATTTGTATTAACTTTTTTAGGTCTTTTTATAGACGGAAAGACAGATTTCCCTACCCCTTTATATACTTCAACTAGTGAAATCATATCCCTACCCTTTCATATACCTGAAGCCTGAAAAAGGTACCCCTTTCAGTAGGAGTCTTCCATTATAGGGAGTACCCCCCGGAAATTAAGTGAAAACACTTTTCCCCGCCAAAATCCAAGCTCCGGTTTATCTCTGAATGCGCATGATTAGCATTATAAAGGAACAAAAAAATTGTCAGCTAAACGTTTTTCCTCTGTCAAAATATTAATTTCTTGGGTGTATCCGGCTAGCTAATTGATTTGAAGAGCTCCTTAGGACTGTTCCAAAACGCTGATACACGAATTCCTCTGATTCCCAACTAACACCCCAGTATAAACAAGGGACTTCCTTAAACTAACTTACTGATCGTATCTAATTCGCGCAGGTTCATCGTGTACTGATACCCGAAGAGCAGATCAAACGCCGTCACCGTCGTTCCTTAGCACTTTTCTTTAATCCCGATGTCGATGCGGTTATCACATGTATGGATGGGTCTAACAAGTATCCTCCGGTCACATCCGGGGAGTGGGTCAAAATGAAACAGAATTTGGCACACAAATAATCAACCGGTTTCCGATTTGACGGCTACTGTGACGTCATATGGCTCAAAGCAAACCTTAAAATTAAACCTGAGGCAACTTTTTTTGAATTGGTTGTCTTCAATTCCACAATGTATTTATAAGGGAAGTAGAGGGTTATAGTAAACAAGTAAACAGGGACCGCGGAGCTGGGGGCCTGGGGGCTTTAGTCCCCAAATACCTTTGCCGCCATTTTGATTGTTTCTGTACGAAAATTTCATATACAGCAAGTTATCAGCTCTTCGATTGTAAAACGTTCGTGTACGATGCGGATTTAAAAAATGCCTAAAATTTCAATGTAGATACACTCCATTTAGTAGAGCTCTGAGAACATCTACGAATAATTGTGACGCTGGCTACGTTTTTAAGGATTTTTATTATTATCACGGTCAGGAATGCCTTTTCTCATTAACACAATGAGAAGAGTTCCATGAAGTTAAATACTGTAAACATGTCGTAAAGGCACTTCAAAACGCCGGAAATCGCACTTGTGAGAGTCTTTACTTCAAATTTCCCGGGGGAGAATTTCGCAGAACCTCCCTAATTTCTCACGCCTTTGGCCGTCGTTAGCCGTCCCCTTCAAAATTTTGCTCCGCGGTCCCTGGTAAAACCAAAACATTTTGAAAAGTTTATGTCCGTTCCAATGAGGTCAGTCTATTTATTAGATACTCAAATGCAATTATTTAGCTCAACAGAACATAAAGGTTCTTTTTTAGCATTGACAGGGCGGATCAATTTAGGTTTCAAAGAAACTGCCCACCTACCCCTCCCCTAACTCAGCGTTTACATTTGCGTCTCACTTGGGGAAAAATGTAGGATAACGGGACGGGTAGTTAGGCAGTTTCCCGGAAACCAAAATTAATCCACAGGGGTATGCCACGAGGATATTGCTGTTTTAAGTCAATTCTGTGTCAAAGTCTCACAAAATCTCCTGAAGCGTTATGAAGAAGATATCAAACTATTCAGGTCTTGAACAGAAACATGACGCGTTTGCCCATGCATTCGAAAAAGCAGGCACTTTACAAGGAGAAACTATGTTAAGGTATAGTTACTACCCCACGATAACTGATATGAGTAACGTCAAACCAGGTCAGCTTCGTTGTGGAGAGCATACTGACTGGGGCGCCATTACACTTCTTATCCAGGATGATGTTGGTGGACTTGAGGTAAAGAAAGCTACCGTTAATTAAGCCAAGCAAATAAAAATAATAAATAAACAAACAAATGTTTTTCCTCCAGGCCTGCTTCATTTCTTGGGGTCGTCTATTTCTTTGTTACTGGAAATGTTGGAATAAACAAAACCCGACACGCGGTACTTTCAACACTAGTTATTCTACAATTCTACATAACGGGCGTTACTTTTCATAATAAAAAGAATTAAACCTATTGACATTTTTCATACACCTTGCCTATTGAGATATATCGTACGACGCATTACGTCGTTAAAACATGTATCAAACTAAATTTGTGTCACATCATTATCTGACGTTTCAATATTAATATTTGACCAAAAACTCCAACTAATCCCCGACCGAAGATTCACTTGAAAACCGCGAATAAAAAGGTTTGAAATAACAACAACAAGCGCTCGCCTGCTCTCTTTTTTCTAGAAATCCGGACGAGAAACATTTGTTTTTATTTCTACTTGGCCCTAGATAACCTAGGAAAAAGCATTAACTTACACTAACAAGTCCATTGCTTCTTAATTTGCTTCAGATACGCAACGTTGATGGAAAATTTGTTCCTGCTCCACCAATAGAAGGAACAATGGTGGTCAACATTGGCGACATGATGGAAAGATGGACGGCGGATAAACTGAAATCAACGGTATGTTGGAGAATGCAACCCTCATACTAAGCCTACGTTTCAATGGTTTCACAAATTGGTTAATTTACCCCCGGGGGGTAAAACTCAAAAAAGTTTTACAGGGGGAGACTCCGCCCCGAGGTCCGACTCCATACGGTTTTCATGCAATTTTTTACAGAAAAGGCACCTTCCATTAAAAAATGGTACCCCTTTTAAGACCAGGTTTAGAGCTCTGCATCCCTTTTAACTGCTGTAAATGCATTGTCTTTAAAATATGAAAAAGTCAGAAAAACAGGAATTTTTTTCATCGCCACCAGGAACCCATCATTTGATGGGCTCCTGTCGCCATAAATTCTTAACTTTTATTATTTGTATTAACTTTTTTAGGTCTTTTTATAGACGGAAAGACAGATTTCCCTACCCCTTTATATACTTCAACTAGTGAAATCATATCCCTACCCTTTCATATACCTGAAGCCTGAAAAAGGTACCCCTTTCAGTAGGAGTCTTCCATTATAGGGAGTACCCCCCGGAAATTAAGTGAAAACACTTTTCCCCGCCAAAATCCAAGCTCCGGTTTATCTCTGAATGCGCATGATTAGCATTATAAAGGAACAAAAAAATTGTCAGCTAAACGTTTTTCCTCTGTCAAAATATTAATTTCTTGGGTGTATCCGGCTAGCTAATTGATTTGAAGAGCTCCTTAGGACTGTTCCAAAACGCTGATACACGAATTCCTCTGATTCCCAACTAACACCCCAGTATAAACAAGGGACTTCCTTAAACTAACTTACTGATCGTATCTAATTCGCGCAGGTTCATCGTGTACTGATACCCGAAGAGCAGATCAAACGCCGTCACCGTCGTTCCTTAGCACTTTTCTTTAATCCCGATGTCGATGCGGTTATCACATGTATGGATGGGTCTAACAAGTATCCTCCGGTCACATCCGGGGAGTGGGTCAAAATGAAACAGAATTTGGCACACAAATAATCAACCGGTTTCCGATTTGACGGCTACTGTGACGTCATATGGCTCAAAGCAAACCTTAAAATTAAACCTGAGGCAACTTTTTTTGAATTGGTTGTCTTCAATTCCACAATGTATTTATAAGGGAAGTAGAGGGTTATAGTAAACAAGTAAACAGGGACCGCGGAGCTGGGGGCCTGGGGGCTTTAGTCCCCAAATACCTTTGCCGCCATTTTGATTGTTTCTGTACGAAAATTTCATATACAGCAAGTTATCAGCTCTTCGATTGTAAAACGTTCGTGTACGATGCGGATTTAAAAAATGCCTAAAATTTCAATGTAGATACACTCCATTTAGTAGAGCTCTGAGAACATCTACGAATAATTGTGACGCTGGCTACGTTTTTAAGGATTTTTATTATTATCACGGTCAGGAATGCCTTTTCTCATTAACACAATGAGAAGAGTTCCATGAAGTTAAATACTGTAAACATGTCGTAAAGGCACTTCAAAACGCCGGAAATCGCACTTGTGAGAGTCTTTACTTCAAATTTCCCGGGGGAGAATTTCGCAGAACCTCCCTAATTTCTCACGCCTTTGGCCGTCGTTAGCCGTCCCCTTCAAAATTTTGCTCCGCGGTCCCTGGTAAAACCAAAACATTTTGAAAAGTTTATGTCCGTTCCAATGAGGTCAGTCTATTTATTAGATACTCAAATGCAATTATTTAGCTCAACAGAACATAAAGGTTCTTTTTTAGCATTGACAGGGCGGATCAATTTAGGTTTCAAAGAAACTGCCCACCTACCCCTCCCCTAACTCAGCGTTTACATTTGCGTCTCACTTGGGGAAAAATGTAGGATAACGGGACGGGTAGTTAGGCAGTTTCCCGGAAACCAAAATTAATCCACAGGGGTATGCCACGAGGATATTGCTGTTTTAAGTCAATTCTGTGTCAAAGTCTCACAAAATCTCCTGAAGCGTTATGAAGAAGATATCAAACTATTCAGGGAGCACCACCCATAATTACTGTTTTGGAGATTTTTGCAAAGGAATAGCATTGAAACTTGACAAAACGGTTTAATCAAAGTCTATCCTTGTCATCCGTTGAAATAGACGACACTGAAAACAGTTTCACTGCCTAAATATAGTCTTAGCTAAGAAAACTAGAAAATTATTTTTGGAATTTAAGCAAGTCTCAACTTTTTAAAAAGATAAGAATTAGCGTGACGTAGCCTCTTTAAGTTTTATTAACAAGGTCTATTTACACAATACAACTTTGTCGCATCCGATCAATAATGTGCCGACTATAAAGGTAAAAACCGAAGCAATCACAGCCTGATGTTGCTTTACTCTCGCCAAAGATGCTTGGCTTTATTTCAAGACCACGTGACCATACGAAACGACGAGAAAGGCGTTAATGGTTTGATCTGCTTATGGAAAGGACATCGCATGCAACAAACTGTTATACCGTGTAAATCGGCCTTTAGACATCAATTAACAATCAAAACAAAGTCTAGTCATATACCGTAATCTTCCACTTATAATCTCCTCCCTTATCAGCCCTCCCAGGCAGTTATAGACGATAACGGGCCCTGAGCTGAAAACAAAAAAAGACATCCGGTTATACCCCCCATCCCCCCTTTCGAATGTAAGCCCCTATCTTGCTTGTACTGAAATTAAATACATTCGATTTTTTGCGAGGTTTTGAAGCTTAAAAAAAGGCGAGTAAATTCAACAAGTATTTTGATCAGCAATGCTTTGTTGCTTGTTTTGAAACATTTTTGTTTACTCCTTATATAAGCTCCCCAATTTATTAGCCCTCCTAAAGCCCCTTACCAAGTTGTATAAGCCCGGGAATTATAAGTGATAGGTTAAGGTATTCATTGGAGTACATTTTGACACTCATCTTTTTCGGACTGTAGGACCCGTAGCTAGTATGATAATGTGTCTGACACAAAGGAAAGTTTCAACCAAGAATTTAATTTAACCACATAATATATGAAACATTTGTTCAATTTTTAAGCAGTTGTATGTGTTACTTCTATCACAAAGCAAAGTTTGGATTCAAAGCAACTCACTCCAGAAAGAACATGTCCCTGGAGGGCTACATTAACAGTATGGGTTAAATAAGTAAGGCAGTAATAACTAAGTAAGAAGTTTCTTCTATCCTGTGAATTGAATCTTCGTTTTATTCTAAATATCATTATGAC